TGCTGTTGACTGCAATTGGCGATCGTAGTTTATTTAGCATCTCCAGCATTGTTTAAAATAAGCAGACATGCAGATTAAATGATCCCCTTTCCACAAGACAGATTAAAAAAAACCCCATGTCTATCTACGCTTTGAGACAGAGGGGAGTATTACCAACTCTCTGAAGTAGAAGTACTCCACAGAGATGAAATTATGTGGGAAAGGGGAATCAATTTCTACTAACCTCTCTTCCACTGTCATGCTACTTTGTAATTTTCAGTGCAACCTCTGATATCAGATGCACTCTCAAGAGTCATGGGAATTGTCAGCCCAAGTATATTTAGCCATATCCCTTTGGGTAGGTGGGGGAGGAAAGAGACCCCTAAATAGCTGTAAGATAACAATTACCACAAGCATATTTGCTTAGAGAAAGTTTAGTCAAAGTTCAGAGAAAAAACAAGTCCTTGGCAGCTGGATGGCCAATGGCCAGCTTCTTCTCGAGCTGCCCCTACAAACCCTTACTCAGGGAGGAGCATGCTCAGAAAAGAAACCCCTCTGCTTTCTTTAGGTCTTTTCCACATGCTCTAAGCACTCCTCAGTGTAAAAGAAATGCTTGAAGAAGTGGCAAATTATCTAGAATCCTCTCCCCTCTTTAATTTAAAAAAAAAAAAAAAAAAAAAAGTCAAACCCAAGCCTTACATGATGGAAAGTGCCTTCTGCATGGGAGGGGAATTCCCACTGTTCCCAATATTGCAAAAGAATCAAAAAAGTCCACAGCACTTTAACAGGCAAGTGAAAACGTCCTGGCTTTCATTCAACTGCAATGTTAGTGGGAATGGGGAGAAGCCTCCCCCACAGCTGCAGGAGAAAACTGTGGGACTCAGGCTGGAAAAGTAGCAGGGGGAGGATGTGAACGCTGTTAAAAATAAAACTTATCAGATGACAATTGAATCGTGAGAATGTTATCTGGTTCAACAGGAGCGTGAAAACAAATAGGCATTTCAAGAAGAGGGTCACTAGCAAGGTAAATAACTTCAAAATAGCAGGAAGCACCCAAGGAAACGTGCCAAGCGGATGGCAACAAACAGAGCTCTCACCCAAAGGGGAGGACAGCAGCGGCTGCAGATTCCAGTGTCCCCCCTCTGTGGTGCCACCACCCTTCACCCAGCGGGGTGGCACTGCACCCACCCACCACAACCCTGGCCCTGGTAAGACAGGAGGCTGAAAAGATGTGCACAGGACAACGTTTAACATGACCCAGTGTTTATTGACTCCTGCCATGTCTTTGTTTTTAATAGTAACAGGAACACAAAACGTGATGTATGGTAAACTACTACTAGGGGTTTCTCTATCAGTCTGATGCAAAGTGCCAGCATTGTTGACCAGCATACAACCTGACAAGAGATGGTGTAGTCATAACTCACTCTCAGATATCTGCTGGGAGTACATCACAGTCAAAGTAGAACTAGTTATTTGCCTGCAAATAGATACATTTTCTTCTAGATGCAAGTGGTGTTAGAGCCAGCTATTTTGCAACAACAACAAATATATATAATAAATTCCAACATTTTAAAAAATGCAATAGGAAAGGACTAAAACTGTTTAAAGAGAGAAGGAAAAAAAAGAGTGGATCTTTTTAGACACTACTTTTCAGAGGCCATTCCTCATAGAACCAGAAGTAATCTAGAGAAAATAAGATTTATTAGAGGCTACTTTGCTCAAAAGGCCAGCGGATACAGGTTTAAGAATAAAAATAGTCTCTTGATTTCTAGTACTGTCTCCTGGCCTTTTTCCTCCCTGCACAATAAAAACCACCTGTCGGAAATCGTGGCTTGGTGGCTCTACATATTTTTCCAATGCAATTGCATTTGGAAAGGCAACCATATTTCTTGAAGAGCCACAAAAATCCTGCACAACACGCATTTGTGGCATGTAACGTCTTCACAGATATGAACGATGAAGGCACATTACCTAAAGGTTCAGCAAAAACCCAACAAAACTTTCGGAGGACTAAAAATTAAATGCCTTAGAGAAAACACTCTCTTTCACAACTGGATGACAAGTGCTGTTTAGCCATAGACGTTTCAAACAGTTTGCCATGAAGACAAAACACAAGGAAAGAGTCTCCTTGAAACGCCCTCCCTACTGCAGCAGCCTGCTTCCCCCACAGCTCTTCAGACAATTCCATTCTTGCAGAGCACTTTGCAGCAATTCCAGAAACAGGCAAGAGAAATCTGTGTAGAAAACATCAAGCCTGTGGATCCCTACAATGACCAACACCCCAGCCACCCCACCCCACCCCCCAGTTAAACTAAAGCATCTTCAAGGAGATCATCCCACTGATCTGGAAATGGGGTAAAGGTCTGGAACTGACTGAGGAATTGACTTCAAAATCCTGTGCCCTCAACTTTTTTGTACTTAATTATATGCGTTAATGAAGAAAAAGACAATGCTCTCTGCCACAGAATAGTTGCTCTCTCCTCTATCCATCTAGCTCAGGAAGATATTGGCTAAAAATGAAAATATGTACTTTATTTACATTAAATGCATCTGTACTGCTCCATGCTCCATCCACCACACGCATGTTGTTGACCACTGGTAGCAATAGTGGTAACTGAAGTACCTTTCTTCTTCAACCTTTACACAAAGCCTTTCCCCTCCCACCCCATCATTTTTCCACTATTTTAGGCTCCAATGAGATGTGTACTAACATCTCTTTCTCATGCTTTTTTTTTTTTTTTTTAAGGTTACCGTTTCTCTTTTAGCTGTCTTTGCCCCCTTTACAATCACGTAGGAGTTTCAAATTTATGTGCCGTGATCAACTTTGCATAGCAATACAACAGATTGGGTTCCCTCTCCCCTCCCCCCCTCTTTTAAATAATAATCCTGTGGCTCCCTTTTTTCAACACCTCCCATCTTTCAAGGGTTACGTCTCACTCTCAGGGAAGAGCCCAAACTCTTTCTCCTCCCACATGAACATTGCAGAATGAGAATTTCAAGTTATCGTTAAGTTTCCTTCAAGTCTTACTTAGAAGCAACTGTAGTGGAATAATGTTTTTCCTAACATTAAAGGATATTTATCAGATTATTTGTCATCTTCTAGTCTTGAGCTATAAGAATATTTGTCATACATGTTCCCCCATATTCCTCTCTTAAGGTGCACAGTGGTCAGGCTGAACAAAGTCCAGCCTGTAAGACCATAGCTGGGATCTCTGGGAGAAAACAGAGAGAATGAGGGGCTTCTTAGGACTACTGTATTTACATTCAAAGTTCAAGGACAGGCTGAACAATGTCCAGCTTTTTTTTTTTTGTAAGAGACAGAACTGCTTAAAAACATATTCCAATTCTATTATCATTTTTTATGTCATGAAAGGTTATTTCTTTTCTGTCCTATACAGCTGTTACCCTTCTGTCACTGACATTTAATAGTTGCCACTGCACGCTACTTTTTCGTTTCCTAGCTCAAGTGCAACAGAGCTGGCTTGCAGACCCATCACTAGCCCGACAGCCCGGCCCAGCGTGGTGAAGTGGTGCAGGGGCTGGAGGTTCAGACACCACTGCGGGCAGGTGGCACGGGAAAACACGGGACACTGAAGAGGTCACCTATTTGGGAACATTTAGTAGGGTCTGACATACACACTGACAACATGAGACGAAAATGAACGCAAGTGAGTCTATTAGGTTGAGAAAAATTACTGAGTGATAAATACATCCACCGCCAGCTCTCAGCTTCATTAAGAGCTATTCTGATCTGCATAGTAAGTGCTGGTTGTAGAAGCTTAGGCAGACTGGAGATAGCTCACCAGTTAACTCGTCGAGTCTAATAAGTTTAAAAAAAATAATGGAGAAAAAAAAATATGTGCTGTGCCATTTGAATAACTCTGATCTCATGGCTTGAGCACAGCAGAAGTAGTTACCTAGCGTAACAGAACAATTGAAACGGAATCGTTGTTTCACCCAAATTACATACGCATGCAAAGTTAAACAAGTGTGCTAACTAAGGATAAGCAGCATAGAAATCAAGTCTAAGTTACCCATTATTTATCATACAATTGTCAGACTGCCAGACTTATCTTTTCCTTTCAGATTCATATCTGTGTCATACAAAACACAGTCGATGGAGAAGTCACGAAAATAACACTTAACTCTATGTATCGTTGGCCTTTAGTGCCAATGCATTGTGTGCCATCAGCCTTCCATGTTTACCAACTTTTGGGAGAAAACAGCTGCTTTACCGAACCGTGAAAACGGAAACCGTACAACCCATCCCACTCAGAACAGAAAGGAAACAGTTTTACAAAGTTGTGGACAGATGCGTAACTACTTCTCCCTCAGTCCTGGGACAGAAAGAGCAGCACAACTGCACAGCTTGAACTTGGACTCTTGAAAAGCAAACAAAATCCAGAAAATGCGATGACTGTGTAGACAAAAATCTGTTTGGAAAGTCGTGCTATCAAAGAGCTGAGCCAACGTTCTGCGCAGCAAGGTGATGAACAGTACATCGACAGGCCCATGTGGAACAGACCATAAGATGACAGTCTACAAAAATCCAGTTTAATTTCACATTCCCCGTATCTCTCCTTTCCCATTAGCAGTCTGCCACAGATTTTAAACTTGTAAAGCTCCTTCCCATTGAGCTAGATTTCTTTTTTCCCCCCATAAAGTGCAAATAAGACTCAGGTTTTTACCACAAGTTCCAATGATCATTATCTTGGTTACAAGAGTGACCAAAAGCCAGTTGGCTGAGCCACTACCGCTAGGCTTAGTGATACTCTTTTTTTTTTTTTTCTTTTTTTTTAAACCCTGGTTACTTTTTCCAGCAAAAGGCAAATAGAAAACAAGTGTTTCTTCTGCCAGATGCAGGCATGACAGGAGGCTGCCTTAAGTACCATCAATATAAGATGCACATGCTAGACACAACCAGTGCGTTCTTGTGCATAACAAGAATTTGCCCTTGTTCGCTGGAAATGGAAGTCATCTTTGGGATCTTATTTCCTCACAAAGAGTTCAGACACAGTTGATTAGTCTTCATTAAGAGGTGCTTCTCTCTTCCTTGCATCTACATTGAAAAGATGAAAAAAGGAGAGGCAGTTAAGGCCGAGGGTTCCAACAGCATTCTTCTGAAAACTCAGAAACGGAATAAAGCTGGTTTGTTTTCAATGGACAGCACTTTCCATTTCAGACTCTTGATATGAATTCACTACATGGACTGAAACGCTGTATGAATCCACAGCAAGTTAACGAGAAAGTCATACCAAGGTTTTGTATGTTTGCCCTGCTGAAATAAACCCCAATAAACTTCAGACTCCAGATCTGTGGCACTTTTCCCCCCACTCTTGGCCCCTTGCTCATGATCCACTTTAAGGATGAAGCCAGTATTTGCTTTGCACACCAGCTACATAGATGACAACAGCCTCTTCTGAAAAGCATTTGACTAATGACTTTGCTGGTCCCCTGTTCCACAGCACACATTTTAAAAAAGACAAATGCTCTCCATCACTGCCTGAGGTAGTCCCTGAAGACCAGATCTTAAACTGCTCCAAAGAGCAACCCTTTGAGCATGGCCCCAGGTAGGGTGTTGGAGCACATCTGGACAACTCAGTCCATTACTCATACGTCATTGCTACAGTACCAGGCAGTGCGGCTGCCATTAGGAAAGCTGGGGTCACCTCTTCCCAGGCTTCTGCAGAAGGGTCTCTGGGCTGACTTTAAGCTATCTGTGAAAGCCAGTTGAATGCACCTAACTCTTGAAGGGCACCATGATCACAGCTACTCTAGCAGCTGCCTGCCAAAAGGTGCACTTACAGATATTTCTAAACTTAGTTTCTTTCCAACTCATGTTGTATACATTCCAAGGTCATTATGAATATATCCAGCATTCTGAAAATTAATGTCATACCCATCTGTCTACAGAGTTATGCCCAGTCTGTCTCTGACTTTGGAAATATCAAAATGAATTAAATTCTTTCTGGTGAACGCTTGTAAAAGAATCATACCGGTTAAGTTCCTGAACTTTTTTTTGGCTTCTGCTCTTTCTTCAGCATCAAAATACCACACAGTCATGGCATATCTGTAAAAGAAAGAAATCTTGTGTTTGTTTCAACTTTTGCTATTAAAATAGAGCCCTGGAGTTCTATGCTCATGGAGAAAGCAAAAAAAAAAAACCAAACCTGGATTAGTAGATAAAAAAAATAGGATGCAAATGGCACATCTTTATAGACAAATATAGACAGCATTTTAAATGTGTATTTTATCAAGATAGAAATATAGGTGAGAATTTCTGCTTGGAGACACAAAAGAGTGCACAGCCCCTGGTGACAGAGGGCAGAAGTAGCTTACAGACCTTTGCATGTTTTTCTGTTCTGGGATGCCTGTGGGCAGCTTGGGGGTTGCCCTGCATCTCATCAGCTTTTCGAAGCCTGTTGACAGATGGTAGCCCAAAGAATCCCTACAGTGTTACAAGGGCAAAAATATAACCCAGCATCTCCCAGCTAAATAGCTATGCCTGGCTTGGAAGATTTCTCCTGTTAACGGTAAAAGGGCTTTATTCCCATCACACAAGGAATCTTATCATTCAAGTTTGTTCTTCCTCATTTGACGAGAGAATTCCCAGTGACTCAGAAACAGAAAATCCACTCAAAATCTAGTAATCTATTTCTCATGCACATGTGTATTTAAACAAACACAATGGCCATAATTTTAGATACAAATATTGGTAGAAGGGATGCTTTATTTTTTTCCTGTCCAAATATCAATACCAAATATGCTACTTACCTGGTTGCATAAGATGGCTGGACTTCATGTGGGTTCCTTCGATCTGACCAAAAAAAAAGTAATCTGTCAAAAATCGGCTCAACATCTGCTACATAGGACTTTCCTTCTGGGAATATCCGAAGAATTCCACCATGCAGCTGAAAGAAAAGGAAAGGTTGCTTTTTACACATATAAACACCCACACATTCATGAGAACAATGACTTATTTCTCCCTCTTCAGCACCCAACAAATCGGGAATAAACATCTAATGATAACCAAAGACAGCTACACAACAACGCTAGAAAACACTACACAGAATCTCTTGGCCACCTTGATTTTCCCCAAAAGTTTGTGTTTCTTTCAGCATAAACATCTGGCTAAAGTAAATGCACCAAGATAAAGACAACTCTGGCCCTGTAACAAACACTGGGAAACTTCTGAGCTCCCATCTCTAGAACCAGTGAATACCACAAGGCAGGTAAGGGTGCTCCACCTGACCAGGCTGAGATCAGACTCTCCTCCCAGCAGTAGGGAGATACTGCTTATGGTATTTCAAAGCCTGCATCTGATCATATAGGAGTTAACTTTTACACCCTGGGAAAAGTGAAGTCTGTTCCATTGTTGTATTTGTAATAAACTTCTCATAATTGTATTATATCTCCCAGCCAGTCTTTTCCCTGCTTGTGGCATAGCCTGGTTTCTCTACCGCATCATTTCTCTCTTTCCATGTGCCACCAGTTTCAGGGGAAAAGTCTGCTGATCTGCATGCACTGCAGAAACTTCAAAAGATGCAGCTGAACTCTGCCTCCTCCCTGCTGCTGTCAGAGGGCTCTTTGGAGGCTTTTATGTTGCATCGCAGAGTGCAGGGAAGATGCCGTCAGCCCAGCACTGACCTGACTTAGTACCTCCACGTGGCATGCAAACCTCAGTAAGAAACTATTAGGTCAGGTTTAAAGCAACATGGTTGCTTTCAAAGGCCAGCATAGTTATATTGCATCTCCTTTAGCATACACTTGCATAAAATTAGTCACACCCACATAATACCCTGCACCAGTGCCCTGGATTTCAGTCAGCTTTCTTAGTGTCCACTTGGGTGCTTCCTTGCTATTAAGAGTGCTGTGCACAAAATAAATTGGATATTCGTATTCCCTCCTACATCTCCACCTTCACTTTATCACATTGAAATGTTCCACTGTCATACTGTCTGTAAAGGAACGTGTTTTTCTCCAACAGTGTATTTTTAGTGGCAGTGCCTCCAAATCTGAACTCGCTTTCAGGGATTCAAAGTAGAGATGCTTAAAAAGCATCAACCTAAAGTAGCCAAGACAGGTTGGACAGACAAAAAACATTGGGCAATTTCCAATAGATAATCCACGTGGATGGTTTGTCCCATATTACAGAATCACACAGAATGGCAGGGGTTGGAAGGGATCTCCAGAGATCATCTAGTCCAACCCCCCTGCTAAAGCAGGTTCTCCTAGAGCATGTTACACAGGACTTCGTCCAGGCGGGTTTTGAATATCTCCAAAGAAGGAGACTCCACAACCTCCCGGGTAGCCTGTTCCAGTGCTCTGTCACCCTCAAAGTAAAGAAGTTCTTCTGCATATTCAACTGAAAATATTATGACAACAGAAGTGTAAACAGAGAGACATCTTACAATTGTACAAACCTTTTATTTTGTTTCTAACTTAAAGGTATGGTAAATTCAAGGCTGACTTTATTGCCTTATAATAATACAGGCAGAAACAAGGGCACCATCCTGTCAAGAGACCCACTGGTGGAGTAAAAGATGGAGAGGACAAACCTAGCCACGTGCTCATTCCTGTTACTAAGTCCCATCACTTCACAAGTAAGAAAACCACAAAGGCAACTGCCTGAAGATCTTCTGCATGTTAGTCTCAAGGAACAGTATGAAAAACACTAAAGTCCCAAATTTCAGCTGTCATTTTATTCTGCTCCCAGAATCTACTTATTCCTTAGTGAATTATGTTTTTCTTTCTAGTGCTTCATTGCTCTTTCCTCTAAACAAATTGTAAGAGCCAGCAGCCCAGTGCTTAGAAGCTTTATTCTACAGCAACAAAACAGTATGTGTGTGGGATCGGAAAAAACATTATAAGGAGACAGTTTGGATTCTTATTTCCAAAGGGTTGCCATAAACACCAAGAAAATAAATGTAGATATGAAGAATGGACCAGCTGCCCAGAAGTTCACCAGAGCTCACAGAAGCAACTGACAGCTCCAAAGCTCTGTTTCTGAAGTATTTTTTCCTTCAGCTTCTGCCTCAACCCTGTGGATTACTCACCTTGGAGTCCCAGTTCTTATTCAGGTAATAAATACAGGTGATGCAGCGCCCGTCGCCATTTGGATTGTCCACATGCCGAACATACCCAGTTCCATTTCCAGGATAGCAAGCGACCATAGCCTGAATGAAATATAAAGATTGTAAAAAAGTAAGTTCTACAAGATGCCCACCTTCAGTTTTTATTTGCTAAGCATCCTCCCACCACCAGTTTGGCTCAGTATTCTTCAGACAATCAATCCAAAATCAACAGCAGACACCATCAGAACGTATCTTTGCACAAGCTTCTCTCACTGGATGAGTCAGCCAGTGTGAAATTCCAAACTGGAAATAAATACCCTTGATATTTCATAATATATACACTGAAGTAGGAGGAAAAAAACCTGAATTAAACTAAAACACTGGTCTGTACAGTACAAGCTTATTGTTCTCTACAAGCTACGTGACTTTGAGGCAGTTTCAGCTGAAGTTTGCTTGAGTTTCTAAAGATGAGCAGTCATTGCAAAACTGATTTGCCAGTCATAATGAAAGTAGAAATCAATCCCAGGATGTCATGCCTTCCTACCACCATCCTCCTCTCTTTGTATCTTCCAGTCCCTGTCACATACACCCCTATGGTCCAACACAAAGTGAGGGTCCCCAGAAGCTGTGGGTAAAAGTCCATAGAGCAAAGTCTGCAAAAATTTGCAACTCCTTTGTGCTGTGTTTGCACGGGGCAGTGCATGTTTGCTTTCATGGACTGAGTCACAGAACTAACCAAACAGCCTTCAGAAGCAGACTTCTCTCTTTGATCACCTCCAGACTTGCTGATACAATCGCTTAATTCATGGTTCAAATTTCACCTTGAATGAGGAGATAAGCCTTACATGAATTACCCCAAACCACACGACAGTCAACAGGTCTTAAAAAGGTTTTTACAGCAAAAACATATTAAGCTTGAGTTGATACCATTAGCAGCCTAAGCTGGATGCAAGGAAGAGCAGGTGAGGCTGCTGGTAGGGTACCAGATTTTGGTCTCAGAGTCACTTCTTCGCTACTGGGATTACTTGGTAGTGATACCAGTCACCTTCCATGGAGTTTATTCCACTAAAGCTGTGGCAATAAAAGTCTTGTTCGCACCCCTGTGAAATCCCCTTTCATTGCTTGCCAGTATTAGCAGCAAGAGTGATAGGAGATGATGGACTAAGTTCAGCTGGAAAACTGGACACTGTATCCAGATGTAGTCTCCCCAGGGATGAGGAGAGGGCGTAATCACTCCCCTCAATCCCAGGCTGTGGTGCTGTGACTATTGCCCTGGATACTGTTCTGCAGGGAGCACGCTGCAGGCTCATATTTAGCTCACTGCCCACCAAGACCATTAGGGTCCCCAGGCTCCCCTGTGGAGCAGAGCTGCTCCCCAGCCTGGCAGGCCCCAGCCTGTACCGCTGCAAGGGGCTCTTCCTTCCCAGGGGCAGGACTTATCATTTGCTCATGTTTAATTTCATAAAGGTTGCCATAAAAGTTGCCATTGGCCTGTTTCTCTGGCCATCTGGTTCCCTTTAGGTGGTAGCCCTGCCCTTGAGTGCGTCAACTGGTCCCCCTGAGTTTGGTGTCATCTCCACACCTGATGAGAGCGCACTCTGCCATCTGTTTCAGGTTACTGACGAAGCTGGTTAACAGGTCAGGTCCCGTGATAGAGCCCCGTGGTGCTCCATTTTGTTACCAGCCTCTAGATATAATACGACTGATTAACCACCACGCTCTAAGCCCAACCATCCAACCAGTTTTTTACCAACCTAGTTTTCCACCCACCCAAACCATAACATCCAAACTCTGGATACAAGAGCATTATGTGTGCCTGTCCCCCAGAACAAGGCTGTGATTGTGCACCATTTGCATGACCTGCCCCTGGTAATCTGCCAAGCACAGCTGATAGCATTGAAGATTGACAGTATAGGCTTTACCAAGAGCAACTGGCATTTTTATCTAGGAACCCCCGAGGTCTTGTTTTCTGCTTCCTAGCACAGGCTAAAGGCTCATGGGATGCATGACCAGCTAGAGTATAGCACACGCTGCTTGAATCTCAAAGGTAATTTTACTGTGCCAACAAACACTGGCACAGAAGTTACTGCCAGCCAGCGCATTGGATCCCTTGGACCCTCTGCTACCGAGAACAAAATCTATTCACAGGAGTTGGCCAGTTAGGACTGGTGTACACATACAGCTGCAAAAACACCGCTCTGCATCTCAAGTCATGTATGAATTGACTTTCCTTCCCCCCCTCAGGCACCAGCACACGGTACCTGCAGGCAGCAGTAAGTCACCAGAGCCCGCTTCTTGCCCCAACACCTCAGGCCACAGCTGCTTTGGGGCTGGTGGCCCACTGGGCAGGAGATTATGCTGAACAAGAGTGAGTACCTTTAATTCCCAGTAATAAGCCCTCTTCCATCACAGCTGGCAGTTGGCTAGATGCCTTGCCGTAGGTCCTGTCTGCTCTGTTGTCATTCTGCCGTTACAAACAGCTCCGCAGCTGAACTTACATTTCACTATCAGCCTGATAACAGCGGTAAGGGCCAGCCTACAGCCCAGCACTGGAAACAAGCCTGGCTTCGGGGTACAAGCCTGATGAAAACCACAGGCCAGCTGTAATTGCAATGTAACAACGGTCCAAAGGAGCTGCACCCTTACTGGGGAGGATACTCCCCCTTGTGCATCCCCCCATCCCAGCTGCTAGCACAGCAGCTCATGCAGGTGCACCCTTCACCCACCCCATGCACAGCGAGCTGGATTAGGTCGAACAACTAAAATAACTTTATTTTGATAAACCTGATCCTCGCATGTTGGGGAACGTGACCCCAGGAGCTGACAGAGGAGAGGAGAGGGGGCAGTGATGCCGGTGCACGGGCAGGGAGGAGAGCTGGGCTGGGGGAGCCGGGGGCTCATCTCCACAGCAAGCACAGCTGCTGCCGAGAGGATGAGCATCTACACCGCCAGCGCCGAGGTCTGGCTCAGCAGAGCGCTGCTAATCGTACCAGAGGGATGATGCATGGTAGGAATAAAACTTTGTTGACTGATAATACCCCAGTTTTTTAAGTCAATGCATAACACAAAATTACAGACGCCTTAAGGAAGTCTCTCTGGAGAGCAGACCTTACTCCAAGATTACTGAACTGCCTAAAAATCAATCCTATATTGCTACTATTTTTCAGTGCCACAATCAAAAAGCTGCTGAAGAATCTGCAGGCCAGATCCTTAAAGGGATTTAGGTGCTTTACTCACTATGGAAATCTGGGCAGATGGCCAGAGTTTTCCTTGGCCTCCCCCACGTAATATGTTCTCTTAGCTTTGACTGCAAGACATTGGTGCATTATTTATTTATTTACAGCATACAACACCTTTTGCAACCGCGACACACAGAGTCCCTGGGGATGAAGAAGTAGAAGAATTCCCACAGAATCCAAAAGCACTGGGCACACTCTAGCTTAACTTCCAGAAAAGAGAAAGGAAAACGTTTTCTAGCGGCAGCAGCGAAGGCAGAAAAGCAGAAGTGAAATATCCTTTTTCCTGGCATGGCGAATATTTGAATGAAACCTTAAACAATGAAGGGAAATCATTCTGGTCCTCCTAGAGCCTGTTGAAACGATATCAAGCTTTATCAGAGCACCGGCTGGAGCAGCTCCAGAGCAGATCAAGCCAGCCTCAGCAGGGATTCCAGCTGTTAGCACTGCTTTTGGATGCATTCAAAGCAAACAAGAAACAGGAGATGAGATGCGTGACCCAGACTTAATTTAGGTAATTGGTGAACACTGGTATTTGCCAGTTTAGTGCACAGGCTAGCTACAAAAGTCGGAGGCTGGATCGTAATAATCAAACCATTTACGAGGTGAGCAAGTGGAGCGTCAGTTAAAAAAAAAAAAGTTTCCTATATTTTTTTCAGCTATTGTGTCCAGAACACACTGGTTTTGGAAGCATCTCCCTTCATTAACCAGCTCCAAACCTAAAGTAACTACAGCAGGCAGTAATGA